AGACACCTCCTACGTGACACTAAAAACTTTCCCGTAGCTGCTCACACCAGTCCGGCCTCGTAGTTCAGCCCTGTGGTGTGAGTGATCTATAAACACACAGCGACTCTCAGAGATTCAGAACATGAGTCCTTTAATTGTGGAAGTCAAAAGCAGAATGAAATGAAAACACTGAGCTGACCTACAGTGGAGGCTACAAGCTTCTGGTCCAAATGAAAAAACGTGTCCAAAAATCCACAGTTACAAAACCCGTTTAGATTTACTGAAAAAAAAGGATCCAAAATGTCTAAATGACTCATATTGGTAGAGCTGACTGAACATGGTCTAAAACGAAGACAGCTGTCCAACATCACTCAAACATCCTTATCGAAGTGATTGTAAATACGTCCAACAAACAGCAGCACTGCTCAGCTCTGGTCTTCACACTGCTGTCGTCTCTGAAGCCTGAACTTCACCTTCCAGTGCACATGAATGGAGACATTAACTGGTATTTACTGGTATTTACTGGTATTTACTGGTATCTGTCACACTGTTGGTTTGCGTGTGACGGCATACAGCCAGAGAACCGACGACAGAGCGGACCCTGAACTCGTCCTCGGCCCGGCTGAGCTGCTCTCTAGGCTCTGCGGGTGAAGTGCTGCGAGTCTCTGAACTCCAGGTAGAGGCTGAAGAGCAGGTGCAGCGCCTGGATCCTGCTGCCGTGGACCGGGATGTCCAGCAGGGAGCAGACCAGGTCGGCGTACTGCGGCAGGCTGCACTGCAGGCGGGCCGGCGGCAGCTGCAGGCGGCCCAGCAGCTCCTCCAGCTCGGCCGGCCACTCCTGCATCAGGCTGTCGATGTCGGGCATCGGCCGGCCGTACTGCACGCTGGCCGGAGGCTTGGAGCGGTGCAGGGCGCTGATGCTGTCCACCCAGCTGTCCACGGCCCGGGGGTTGGCCTGAGGACTGGCCACGCTGGTCACCTTCTTCAGCTGCAGGGAGATGGACAGTCTGAGGACAGCTACTAACTGGCTGCTGTGGCTGCCAGGAGACAGTAAAGAGTCACCATGCTGCTGGTGTGTACAATACCAGAATCAGAACCACTGGTGCTGGACAAGCACAAGGACTTTAACAGGTTTTTTTTTTCTTTGCTCTAAAAGAACATACACAGAAAAGACACTTTGATTTAAACGAGGACAGCAGGAGAGAAGCAGGTGTTTATGTGCTGCAGTCACCTGAAGGCTTCACTGAAGGATTCCTGTGAAGTCCATGTTTAGTGTTCGTCTCGTCAGTCTGGAGCTCCTCACCGACGGAACCACCGTCTGCAGGGCAATGAACTGTTCTGGTTCTTTCATAGGTTTATTAAAGGTCTTCTGGAAACATGACAAAACCTGCTGGATCATAAATAAACCTACAGAAATGTTAATATCTGGTTCAACGTCCATGTTCTCCTCAGTCGGGTTCTTCTGGTTCCGTCCACCAGCTTCTGGTCCATCTCTGACTCCTGGACAGAATCACTGCAGTTCAGCTGAACTTGTTTCTTGCTGCTTCCTGCTGGTTCCTGGTTGACTCTTGACCATCCTGACCAGTCGTCTCTCAGCAGCAGCTGCTAGTTTGTGTTTCCTTCCTGA